CGGCTGGGCAGGGGCGTTGGGCGCCGCGCTAGTGGCGCGACACCAGGCCTCCACCGCAAGTGGCCGAGTTGAGAGCGGTCAGCTGAAGCGCGGCAGGTTTTGGGGTGGTTTGGGTTTTTCCTCCACCCCCCCTCTTTTTTTTTTCCTTCCGATTTGCGTGTGTTAGAAGTCCTGCTGGCGCACGGAGAAAATACGCTGATTCGGGGGCTAGGCGGGTCTGGCCCAGCGTTGAAGGGGTCCCTTCGAGGTTTGGCGCCAGGTGACTGCGCCGCGGGAGAGGAGCAGAAGGACTGTACAAGGCGAGGGAGAGAGGGACGGTGAATAAAACCAACTTGGGAACGAGAAGTCGGGGGACTGAAACGAAAGCAGCGTGATGAGGGGTGGGAGTCTCGAGAAAGAGTAAGCGGTCGGTCCTTCCTTCCAGTGTTTTGGGTTAATTTAGCGCTAGCAGGGTGTTCGCAGAAGTGGCACCTATCCAGTTCTGTTTTCAGAAACCTTTTACGTAACAGACTAAACGCAGGCTGCTGTTCAGACAATGTGGTGCGGTGTTAAACCACGTCTTACTCGCTAATCTGTCAAAGCAGACGGCTCGCGTTGGCCTCTGTGCCGGGGCTTCCTCTGGCTGCAGTTTAACACCTCACGCGTTTTGTTTTGGACCATTTTTAGTTTAAGGAGAACTTCTTGCGCTACAATAGCAGAGAAAGTAAGTGACGCTCTTAAAAAAAAATCCGAGTGCTACGGTGGAGGTCCGTTACAGTCCGGCGTGGATGCTGATCGTGGTTCTCTGAACGTTAAAAGTTTCGAAAGCGTTTGATAGCCGTTTTAAGAAATACTGATTTGACGCTAACTTTACGTGTCCGGGTCATGTTTTATTTACATGGCGGCTAGTTTTTCTATTTTTTTTTCATGTTATGCTGTTGCTAATTGACTTTTTTTGAGTTTGTAAAGTGGAAAAACATTTCTAGATACTGAAAGAAAAAAAATCGAGTGCCGCATTAGTATTTTTCTCCTCCTGTAGGAACAGTACAGGCTCACTGTAAGCTTGCCCATACATGGGCTGCCTTTTATTATATATTGGTACAGTGCCTAATGCAGCAGGGTCTTGTCTTTTTTGAGTGGGTTCACATGCTAAATACAGATAATAAGCAACTGGCAGTCCAAGTTTGTAACAAGTGCCACCGGCCAGGGTGGCGAATTTTCACAAATGACGAAAGCTGAAAAGCTTTGAACAAGTCTAATTCTTTCCTCTGAAATAACAGATGTTTGTGTCCTGTTGACTTCAGTCACTTGCATGACTCTCTGTAATTACATCGTTCAAAATCTGTAGAATTGTTTTTAACGTTGGTGTCTGTGTTTTTAAAAGTTCACAACAATTTTGTAATTGAATTGAATGCCTATGTGACTCTTACTGTCAGTATGAAAACAACTACGTGTTTAAGTCAAAGATGCCATGGCAGTAATGGACACGTGGTAAAAATGTTGCTATATAGCTTTGGCCAAAGACGCCTGTGTGCACCTTTAACCTGAAGAGATCTTGCATGAAAACTATACATCTCCTTTACGCATTTACAGAATTAGGTCTTTATTGATGGACTTTCTCTTCTGAGGTTTTTTTTTTTATTGTCAATGCTGCTAAGTTATCGTATTAGAGATTACAAACTCCAGACCGCTCATCTTAGTTTATTGTGGTTTTAATCCGAAGGTGTAATTAGCAATAAATTTCAAATAAATTACTTTGCTGTGGGGAGGAAGGCTGAGGCTTCTTGTGAAGCACCTCAATTTTACTTAATTTTTCTGAAAAAAATGTGAACCTGTTTTGAAGGACTCACAAGGGGGAGGGGAAATAGGATTTAACTTTTGCTCTAATAGCCTTTTCAGTTGCTGGTTTTTGTTTCAGTGCTGATTGAAGTGCTTGTGAAAATTGCTCACCTGCAGGAAACATGAGGTCACAGTACGTCACAGTGCCCACAGTAACTGTCCTTCTGTTCTTGCTATGGATCCAATCTTCAACAGGCTGCAATAAGGCTCTCTGTGCTAGTGATGTCAGTAAATGTCTGATACAGGTATGAGCAGTATTTCTTTTATTTGCTTTTAAGCATTTAAAAACCAGTTCTGAAGTTATGTCTCGAAAAGATCCGGTGATACAAATAACCCATATTTTATGTTAAATAGCGCTTTCTAAGGAGTTCATTTTGGACTCCTGCAGACGTAATGCAGATTAACAGCCATTTTATAGATAATATTAAGTGCATGTGTATATGTGCATGATTTTGGTCTTTTTAACGGAAACAGTTTCAAGTCAAGGGTTATGACTTTTGGGTTATTGTTAGAAGCCAGTACCAGTCATGCTGTTAGTTTTCAATATCTTTCTTCTTTATTGGTATTATTATGAATAGACTCTATAATTTCAAATGCATCTTCTGTTAGAAAGGTTTCTGTAAGACAACTAGTGTTCCTCAAAGATACCTGTAATATCATAACTTCTCATATCTGTATCATATCTGTCAGATCCTTAACGTGCAATCTCTTCCCTTTCCTAAATCTCCTGGCCCAGGTGAGGGCCGGTAGTTGGTGTCTGATGCTCCCTATATTACAATATTTTTGTGGTAGATAAAAAGATGCTTGCAAGCTCATGTGAAAGAGAGTAGCTAACACCAGGATGGACCTAACCTCTCTTAGATTCCCAAGGTGCACGTGGAAAAATAATGAATCTACTTTTGTGATCAGACAGGACCAATGGCTACTCACTGTAAGGACCAAACTCTGAAAGCATGCAGAATTACCTTTAAAAAGAAAAAAGAATTTTCATTTGAACTACTAACCTGTTGTGTCCAGCTGCTGCTTTTGACTCACAGTGTGTATGTCCACACAGTTGAAGAAACAGACTGAAACGAGCCTAGTATTATACTATTTTATAGTAACAGTTATGAAGAACAGCGAACAGCCAAACAAAAGCTTCTTTTTTAGCAGGATTGCAAGCAGTTCTGGTAACTGCCAAGTCTGTGTTTACTAAAGGTGCTTTGAGGTTGTTCTTTGGCTTCACGTTGAAGAGAGCAGCCTTCGTGTAGTTAGTTGCAGCTTCTTTAGAAGAAACTGTTCTTTACTGCTGCTCTGTAGATTGGAAACACAAAAGCAGAGCCATTGCTTAAAAAAAAAAAAAAAAAAATCTGCTAGGTCAGCCATTGTCCATAGAATTACTAGCTACGATAGAAGAGAGAGGCTTTTGCCTTTTATTTTTTCAAAGGTAATGACAGTCTTTTTGCTAATGGGCAGGGTATCATGCGGTGTGATGAACGGATGCACTTTTCAAGTCCTTCCTGTTGCGTTTTTCCAGATCACCACTAGGCTTGAAACCTTTAAAAAGTAAGATGCCAGGTACAATGTTGGACATAGAAGGCCCTTAAATAGCCAGTGCAGTGGTACAGCTATGTTGATATGTATTTAGGGAAGAAAGCTTTTGGTCTAGAGGACATGTTGGAATGCGGATGGGGGAAAATAGGGAAGATTTATATTCTCCCCTTTTTTTCTACCACTGATGGGAGTCCACCATCCCTAAAAGGACAGACCTTCCATCCCAACTATTGACTTCCCATTAATCGGAGTCAAGTTTGAGAGACCTAGCGTTTCAACTTTATTTTTATTTTCTGGTCTGAATATTGGAGTTAGCATGGGAATATAGGACAGGAGTAAGATAGCCGAGGTTCAGTGCTGCGTAGAGGCAGCTAACGCGACTGTCTTGTATATGGATTAAGCTGGCATCTCTGTAGTGACACAGCCTTGTGTATGCAAAGAGATGTCTGTACTGATTTGTTTGTTTCAGATACATTCTCTCTTACTTTTTATACAGGTGACGTGGAATGCCTTTTTAATATATTTCCCTAAAATCAAAATTATATGCACTTCTCTGAGGCCCTAAGATTACCCACTGACCATTTGAATTGTGCACAATTACAGGGGAATACTGAAGCTGTTCATTTTCACTGTCTGGCTGCTCTGTTCTTGTGAACGGGCCTGACATACCAGTCAGTATTCATTCTTCATAGAAGAACAAATCGGGTCAGACTAGTCTGATTGTGGATGTAAAGAATCCTAAAGCCTTAACTTAAAAGGGTTAAGCTATCATCATCTTTCTTCTTGGCCTTTCACTGTTGTGGCAGAAGCACTGCACTGTTACGTGAAGTGCGTGTTATTTCTTCTGTAGGTATACGCAGCGTATCTTTGTAATTTTTTTCTCCTCTAAACTCTTCTGGAGAAATCTGAACCTAAAAATAAAATACTGTGTTGAGTGAGTGTACTTGACTAAATCATCGCATTTTTCCCTAACCTATTTTTATAGCTGTTCTAGTTTGGCAAAATCCATGGCCTGAAACCAAAATAATGTCTCTCTCAGATTACTGGGGTAGCAAACAGAATGTGAATGTTTGTCATCTGCATGCAGAAAGTAAGGCTGCCTGTGCTGGAGAAATAATAAAACAAAAGTCCTGGTCTCTCAAAAAACATACAGTTAACATAAATATTTTTGCCAGCATGGCTGAAAGTCAGTACAGTCATTACTGCCACTCCTTATGAGCTGCTTTCTGCTTAAGGGTGGTCCCCTACATAAATATTTATTTTGTTAGATCCAGAACAGAGCATGAGATCAACAACTTGCATGCACTGTGCTTTTCTTTTACATCTCAAGGGCTCTAGCTTCATTGGTGCTCTTGTATTCTAGTTTTTGTGTTTCTCTGAGGAAAGATCTGTAAGAAAATAGCTTGGGCATCTCTCTAAATGAGCATAGTGTTTGCAAAAAATTGTGGCTTCCCTTGGTTGTTGAAGCAGTTGTGGATGAGACCTGAGAGTGTAAGCAGAGTGGGCCCACAAAATTAGTTCCCTTTAAGGCTTTGGCTGTAGCTCCTTCCTGTCTCTGGGATTAGGGGATTGAAGTTGACAGCTGACTGTCGCCTTGCTCTTCAGGTAGGTCATTGTATTCTGGTTGCACATGGCATGTGTATTCCAGTATTTTTTCCAGCACATCTGTTGCTGACTTGGAACCCATGGGTTGTTTTGATGTTTCCACATGTAAAGAGATGAGAATGGCAGTTATGCTAGCTGGGTGGAGTGGAAACGTATTGTGTCCCTGCAACACGGAGGAAATCCTTGAAAGCAGAAACTTCTGGGATGGGATGTTCCCACGATTGTTCTTGGCAAGCAAATTTAGGAGGCGAGTTCCAGGCTGGCTTTTGAGGTGCAGAGCTACCTGCTATAGTAGGAATTGGGCGATATGCGCATATTGTGTTGAAATCCTAGCTTTGTCATCAACTTTAGAACAATAAATATTCCGTTCCTCCCTGCCTCTGTCTTACAGCTACTGGTAATATGAAAGACATACTTACTTGATACCTCTTTTTGTAAAATATGCCAAAGATTAAGCAGATACATATGGTTAATTAAACCCAGTATTGAAATGCAAGGCTCTCTAAAATACTGCTGTAGGTAGGAAACGAACAGTGCTATAGTAGTGTAAGCATGGATTTTGGATCCTTCCAAAGAGGGGATTGTTTTCTAAAAAACACAGATTTTTTTCTTTTTAACACTACATGCCGGCAATAACCTTGGTTGGTGCTGTTTCATTCTGATTAAAATCTCTCATCTTTGTCTTCACCTCCGGTTTATCTTGTGTGCAAACTTGTAAGTCAGACCGAAAGGATTTCCCAAGATTTCTTTTAGCCTTGTGGTATGGAATAAACACCACTTTTTCACTTTGGGGCTTAGGTATCTAAACATTACTTTCAGCGTGTATTTTGTAGCTGTAGTACGTAATACAGTAGGTTTAACAAAACAGTTCTGTCTGGTTTGTTTCCAGGAGATTTTCTGTTATTAAACTCTTCTAGAGAAAAAAAATTAGCTCTTTTTCTCTTCCACTCCCCCCTCCAGTTCACAAAGACGTTGCTAATGCCTTCGGGTCCTGTTTCTTATTGCACTGAGAAAATGATCCGTGTCGTTTCAAGAAAGCTTTTCAAAAACGCAGATGTTAAATACCTTGTAAAAATCTTTATTTGTTCTCTGGAGCAGAAGTGTCTTTATTGTATGAACATGTCTACTTCCTATTTAATCCTCTTGTTTTTAGACTAAGGGGTTTATTCTTGCCTAGCAAAATACATTTTCTGATGCACCTTCAGTAGTTCAGCTTGGGAAGCTGCCAGGGTCACTTATGAGTAATATTTTCTTCCACTGACGCCTCACCACCCCCAGCTATCAACAAGGAGCGTTTCTCATTCGGCTTCACTTCACCCACGTCTCATGTAAGCATTCTTTTAAAAAAAGATGTATCCTGTATGAGTATCCAGTGCGGATGAGTCAGTCAGGAGAACTCAGAAGTGGTTAAGGAAACCATATACATTCAACAACAACGCATACATGGAAAAACGGACAGTTATTGCCCTGAAGAGACAGTGAAACTCTGGGAGGGAGGAGCTGAACGACTGCACAAAAGACTAATTAGACTGCTCTCTTTCTTCCAGCTGGGAGAGGAGGATGGAAGAAAAAAGGTCAAGTTGCACTGCTCATAAGCCCTTCCTATAAAAAAGAACTTGTTAAAACACTAGTAGGTATAGTGATGCTATTCCAAGATAGTGCTTACACATACAGACACTACGCAGAGTTTTTTCCCTTATGTTGCAAGTGTGAAATTTAGGGTTGCATTTAATTCTGTGCTAAAACTTTTCCTGCCTGAGGCTCACATAGTGCAAGCTATAAACTGAATCAAATTTAGTGAGTTTTCTGGCCTTGATTCATATATTACATTTAGTGGCTTATGAAGAATAGCCTCCTCCCACATACTGACTTGTCAGTGTTGCAATATCTTTATGATGTTCAAGGTTGTTTGCCCAGTTTTACTGTTGAAGAACAAATATATGGGCGATTTTTTATGTTAATACATATTCATATTATGCCCTGGCCAAGGTAACAATACTTTGCTCGTGGTTGTTTTAAAAGTTGTTTTATTCAGGATCTTTATTCTCAAGACTGACACAATCTGTTTATCAAACAGTAAAATAAATATTTTAGAAATGCGTCATTCATTCACATAAGTCATCTTTCTAAGTTTGTGGTGTCTCCTCTTATGGAACACTTTGTGTATCTTATTAATGAGCCTGTTTTCCATCTTTCACTTGGAAACAGCATAGCAATAGGTGACATTAAGAAATTTGGGGAATTAAAAAATAAAAAATCTCAGTAGTTTTCCACTCTATAAATAACACTTCAAGGCTTACAACTGCATATTGCAGTAATGCATCTGGAGAGCACATATCCACGCTCAGTCACTCAGCAGTGCAAACAATTCAGATTAACCTAGGCAGGCGATAGCGTTCTCCAGCATTACCCAGAACAGGCAACAGCTTGTAAATCTCATGTTTATGCTGCAGAACTGGATCATCAGAGAACTGAGGTGGATTTCTTTTCTCCTTTCAAGCCAGATGAGTTTCTCCGATCTGTTCCATAGCACAGATGTGCAAATGACTGTTCCAGTAAAATTGACGGCGGAGAGGATCCCATAATCAGTGTTTCCACTAAATTAACCAGTCTCCAGCGAGAGCATTCTCAGATATTTTTTGAGCAATAAAGCTAATGGAATCTCCAACAAGGGAGTTTGTTTTCTTACCAACTGTTTGCAACAGGACAGTCAAACGCGCCACCAAATCAAATTCTTTGGCAGTATAACTAAAGGTGACTTCTCAACCGTTCAGATTTTGCACTATGGGGTGATCCAAGCCTGTATACTGTTGCTAAGTCATACAGTCTTTCAGCTGAACTGGAATTAACTGCTGTACATTTAAGAGCTAGAGAGGGAAGTAGACCACCTGGTTTTCAGACTTCCTGCATACACATAGGGAATTTCCGTGCTTCAAAGTTTGCAAGTGTCTATCTTCAGCAGGGCTGCCGAGCCACTGCTTCCAGATGTAGGTAGTCTGAAGAAATAGTTTTGAATGTTTTTGATTCCATGCTTTTTCTGGTATACTAGCTTAATAACTATTAAAGAAAAAGGCATACGCATCCCCTTTCTACTTTCTAGAGGCTACAGAAGTCTTGGAAGTATCCCAGGATATTGGGGTTTCTAACAGCAAAAATGAATCAGCCGGACTGCTAGGGTAAAAAAATCTAGTTGCTAATATTTAAAATACAGACCAATGTGTAACAAGCTTTCAAAGTTAGGCAAAATCTTGTGTTCATATGACTTCACCAAATAGGTTTCTTTTAGAATCCGTGAATAGGTGTAATGGTAGGCATTGCGTATCTTCATAAATATGTATGTGTTGCTTATAGTAACTTTTTTTTAGCTAAATTATAACTTATGTATGCTATTTATATAGAGAGAAACATCCGTCTTTAAACGCCTGTTGTGATAGGAAAAACATTCAAAGAACCTGTAGATTCAGGCATACAAAGGAGTAAACAGTTTTCACATGAACAGGATTTTTTTTTTTCCTTTTACATGCTTATTAGCTGTCTTCAGACTTGTTTTTAGAATCTCACCTTTAAAAAAGCTTGCAAAATGTCCTTTTGTAAACTAGGATTGATTCTTTGGCCAGAACTGTTCTACCATTTATCTGCTATATTAGTGTATTAAGCTTCTCTAATTCCATAGCTTGAGTTATGGCTTGAGGAAAAACTGCTTTGCCGTGTTAGCAGTTTATACCTGGGATTGTTGTGGTGTAATGAATTTATGTTGTTTTCAGGAGCTGTGTCAGTGCCGCCCTGGGGAAGGGAACTGTTCCTGCTGTAAGGAGTGCATGCTCTGTCTAGGCACGCTTTGGGATGAGTGCTGTGACTGTGTTGGTAAGTTTGCATTTATTTGGTTTGGGATTTTTTTAATTGCTCGCTCCTGCCACATGCTGAGCTCCCAATCTTATCTTGCAGAGGTAACGCGTCAGGACAGAATCTGTGCTTTAAAGATTTACGCAAACTAGTGTGAGGAACAAAACATTAGGAGGCTCTATCTACTTTATGGAATGGGCGGTTGTAGTAGTCCAGATTTCACTTGGTTAATGTCATGGTAACCAGCTGCTAGTTTTATCTCTTAAGACTTCAACTCTTTTTGAACTGTCATCTTAGTGAAAGTCTATGCAGCACCTGCTTCACGAGGTTGGAAACTGTATGGAGGTTTCTAACTGTGAAGTGCAACAGCAGACACCATGAGGTGACAGTTTTAGATTTGAGTTCCTTTGTGAATCCTTGCAACTGGCAGTAAATATGCGTTGCCTAACTTTTTCAACAAACTTTTATTTATAAAAAGAGCTCTTTCTGGAGGATAAGAAAGAGGCATGCATGTTGTTACTGTAGGGTCAGATGACAGCCTTGACAAGAAGAGCAGTATTGCTAATGGATAATGTTCAGAGTGCCAGAATTTCTGCAAGTGAATGTTGCCTGCACTTCAGGAGGATGTATTCTAGTTCCATCTTGTTTTAAGCATCTGTATCAAGAGTTTCATCATCCTGTTGTTGCTGGAAGGATTCCTCTGCCGCCATTCAAAATCCTTCTGGCTTCCACGAAAGGGATACATCTCGATTGCTGTCCCTGCACTCAGCTTCTCAGTTTGGTTAGCTCTTCTCTGAATTCACGATCATGATTAGCTTCAAAACGTTCCTTTTCAACGCAGTTCATTGCTTCTCCTATTCCACAGTGATGTGAGGATGTTTTCTGACATCCTGTTCTGACTAGTTTGCCTGTGCTTTATTCTGTCAGCGGTGGAGAGGCATACCCCTGTGCAGGTGTGATTCTTCCAAATGGCATAAAGTGTTTCCAGCCCCTGCACCTGTGCAGGCTATACATTTAGAACTAGATCTTAGAGTTTGTTTTTTCTATTTGATCTTAATTTTTTTCAGTGGTTTCCTTGCAAAGGGAAAATATACGTTTTTTTCCCCATCCCCTTTGCCCTTCCAATGTCTGCTTGATTTTTATAATGTAATAGTAAAGTGTGCTGTTGTCGTGTTCAGTCATGGGGTAGGGAATGAGATAGTAGGTTATTTCCCTAGTTCAGAACCATTATTTGCTGTAGAAAGTGAACTCTTATTATGCAAATGTTCTCTAGGGAGAGGAAGTACCTAGTTCTTGGGATGATGAAGAAAAAGAACCAAGTCCAAACATAGGTTTAATTCGAAATCTGCACGCTACTCCCTGTTCTGCAGCTGTTTCACATAGCCAGGAGAGGAGTTAGCAAGGCTTTAGGTTAAGTTTCCTAGTATTAAATAAGCTAAAACGTCTTTTGATAGTTCTGCCAGTGCTTCAGTTCTTGTTGGTTCCATGTTGCTCCTTGTGTGAGCAACAGCGGAGGCAACAGGAGCTGGGAGAGCTTAGTTTCAGAAGGAACTTTTCTGTTCTTTAATGTAGAGTCAGGGATGAGAGATTTCCTTGTCATCCTTGCTGTAGCCGAATACGTCTCGTTGAAATCAGGAAAAAGGAGTGCAAGACATCCACCGCTTCCTGGAGCAGAGTTCTTTGCTAGTACTTGAGCTGATAGCTTAGTCTTTTTGTAAACTGATCAAGTCTAATGTAAAGGTAGGCAGGTTGTCTTGTCTTTCAGGTCATGTCTGTTCTAAGATGAGGAGGTACCTTCTGCCCTCCAGCACAAACTTTATTTATGGTCAGTTGATGCCCTTTGT